TCTGTTGGAGGAATGGAATGAATTTCATTCGCCAAACCTTTTCCTAACATTAATCCCGTTTTATATGGAAATATGCGGTCAGTCTTTGGCTTAATTTATGTCAACTTTTAATTAATTTATATGTTTTGTAAATAATTAGCAAAAGAATTGAACTTTTATGGAGACATTCTAATCAAGAATTTGTCGAAAACTGTTACTCTGTTTACCGATTCTGTCATAAATGACTTGTTATCACAAATCCCATACAAACACTCACTTACAGTGCAAAAGATGGCCAAACCCTATGATTATATATGTTTACCACAAAATAAGGAGAACTGTTTCAATACATTCTGTCCACTTGTGGTCAACCCTCGACACTCCATCGCTCTATCAGCACATCGACTCATGATTAAGTAAATTCACGCAATTATTAGCTAATTATTTGCAAATTTATACCTATTTTACACATTTGTCTCATAGATTCATACCGTTTCTCATGCAAGATGTCATTCAGACAACAGAAGTGTTGGACAGAGAGGAAGAGGAGAATCTTTTGTAAGTTTTTATTAATTAATTCTAATTATAGGTCTAATTATTTGGTGTATATTTATATTTTTGATTCAAAGATCACCGCCGAAGACAATACTATCACTTTTGGAACAAATGGATGGCATAATCGATACAATGCTGTCTGAATACCTCATCGGTGACTGTATATGCGTTGTAGAGGCGGACACCGACTCTTTCACCTATACTTTGGGATATCTATTGCTTTGGACACAAATTCTGGAGATTTTCGGACAATTAAGCGACGAAATGAAGCCACAGTTGACGGCATTCCTGAGACAGTCGTCGTATTTGTCGCGTCTGTTGGAAAACCTGTTCCGTTTGATGCCATTATCGGCCACTGATGTGAACGCCATCGACGGTCAGTGGTTGTCGACGACGACAATAAACGAATGGACAGAATCGCTGGTCGACCAGCGACTGGAGTCGACACACATTCAACGCCTGTCCACTCACTTGTATTACCTAATCCTGCGTCGACTGCCGGCGTCTGTGAGGCAGTGGTGGAACAACTGCGACCGCAAGACCGCCGACGCCGTCAATAAATATACGGCCAGTTATTTCAGTGGCGTTCTCTGCGCTCAGGAGTTGGAGGCCGTCCAGAGGGCAGACATCACGCAATTCAAGAATATGGCGGTTAAGGCGCGACCACAGGCTCGCGAAGTGGTCGCCAACTATACCATCGAAGAGATCACTATTGAGCTGTTGATCCAATTGCCGGCTAATCATCCGTTAGGACCGGTCGGCATTGATAGCGGACGACGTGTGGGCGTCAGTGGCACCCAATGGCGCACTTGGCTCTTGCAGTTGACCACATTCCTCACCCATCAGGTCAGTCATGTGTTGTCTGTCAATAAGGGAACGCCTATCAGTGAACACTGTTGTGACCATTGCTTTCGTTGACATTCCTCCACAGAACGGCTCAATACTCGACGGACTGATACTCTGGAAGAAGAATATCGACAAACGCTTCGAAGGAGTGGACGAATGTATGATCTGTTTCTATGTATTACACGGACAGACGTGTCAACTGCCGCGCCTTCAATGCAAATACTGTAAAAAGAGATACCATTCCGCGTGTCTGGTATGCTATCATTCAATTCATTCTATGGTTTTCCCGATTTTTAAGTCATTTTTAATCTTAAATATCACATATTTAGAAATTATTTTTTATAAATGAAAAACAAATTATAAATAATTTAATAATCAATTGTTTGTGTGTTTTGTATGATTATTGCAGTACCGGTGGTTCAATACGTCCAACAACAGCACCTGTCCCAACTGTCGCAACTTATTTTGAAGTCCAATCACTTGGTTATACCGTTTTTGGGACACAATTTTAATGTAATTGTTATGTTGAGTGTTTTTGTACTTTAAAGTTTACAAAATTTTATTTTATTTTTATTAAATAAATATTTATAGTCAACACTGAATTATAATGAACACCGAATTATACTGTATGCGTGTATAATAGACACTGTATATAATGTATGGATTTATTATGCAATGCAAGTGTAGTGTTCATTATAAGCGAGTGCCACTATATATTCAAGTTTTAAAACTTAAAAAAAAAGTTTTCAAATAAACTTCAATGGAATGTATGGCCACAGGAAAGCTGTATATATTTGTCGCGTTAATTGGTATGTATTGCAGGTATTGCGGGGTTAGGGTAGGGGTTGGTCTATGTCTGTGTGACCCCTTTGCGGGCAATTAGCATATTGAGAATGGGGTGCTTTTTGATGTACTCGACGGCCTTTTTATGAGTGACCATGGTGAAGTCGTAGCCATTGCACTGAAGTATTTTGTCGCCCATTCTGAGGCCGCAGTTCCAGGCGGGCCCCTCCGCACTCACGTCCGTCACGTATATGCCCTGAGAAACGGCATTCAAATGCTATTAATCACTCGTTTTCTGGTTATATTTGATTAAAGGGTATGAAATGCACCCCAAATGGGATGCAGTGTCACCGCAATGGGTGACAATTTGGTAGAGGGAGGGCTGTATTAGACACGACCATAGTTTATGGGCTACCTGTCCCCCCTGTGCCCTGATTGGAGGGTCACATGTAGTGTACGTACGTTATCGGTGAAGGCCTGTGGACTCTGTCGGAAGTCCTGATCAATACCGCCGCCAATCTTGAAGCCACACTTCAGTATCTCTCGGCCCGACTCGTCATAACTGATCTCTTTTGTCAACTTCAGGGGTATCTATGAGTGGCCGACATATACACAACAAGTCATTCATTTATACGTTAATTGCTATATTTGATCAGGGTCAGCATATGACAGTGATCCGACTCGTCATAACTGATCTCTTTTGTCAACTTCAGGGGTATCTATGAGTGGCCGACATATACACAACAAGTCATTCATTTATACGTTAATTGCTATATTTGATCAGGGTCAGCATATGACAGTGATTGGCAATACTGTAGTTAGCAAATGAAGTCTATATCATCAACAATACCACTCCCCCACCCACCCCTCAGCACTACTAAGCAAGTACAACTACACTTTTCTAATTTTTCTGTTATTTTGAGCTAGTTCAAAGTTTGTAATTTAATGAATGTATGAGCAAGGTGTATTTGGTGTATTATTTGGCTCAATACGTACGGACAGGCATTCAATAGCAGTGCCGGCTTTGTGTTCAAATGTAGACATGTTTTCAATGGGTGTCTGTCCACTGAATATATCACTTAATTTGATTCAATGGTATATTTAATACTTCAATACATGAGACATTCAATTAAAATGCATTCAATGAATGCATTTAAAGTGCACACAAATAGACATCACTTTTTCATTTGACAATAATATTTGACACTTTGTTTTGACGCAAACTATTCACAAATGGTGTGACAAAGGGTTTGCAGAAAGCATAGCGTATTTGTGTGTATTTCATAGGAAAGGGAGCGACGTTTACATGCAATACGTTATGCACTGATTTGCACTCATATTTCATTCAATTTTTTGAGACAATTTTATTGCGAAATGAATTACGTATTCATGTATTGAATAAACTTTTTTTTGTATCACATTTTTAAGACTCTATTAAAACTATAATTAATTTTTATAAATTGAATATTAGATTGTGTTTATAAGTATAACACTTTTTTTGCAACCACTCTCATTATATGCCATTATTTGTATCAAGCTCAATAGTTTATTATTGCTTGAAGAATAATTGAATGATTAAAAAAATATTGTTCATTCATTTGCTGTGATACTGATTTTGATACTATAATTTGTATATTAGTTAAGTTAAGGTATAATTTTATAACATTTAGTGTCATTGTATGATATAATATACGTTCAGTTTATTATAAGTATACAATACTTGTCCATCAAATCAAATCAAA